CCTAAACCCCTGAACCAAAACCCTAAAGCCCAGAGTTCAGGATAGCACAGGCCGTCTTCAGAAGACTGAGAGGCGGAGTGCGCAGGAAAGCATCCGAATTGCAGAAGCTCCGATTCCTGCACTCTCCCACCTAGGGTTTAGGGTTTAGGGTTTAGGGTTTAGGGTTTAGGTGGCTGTGCACTCTAGCCACACCAGATGCTAAGGACCCTGAACCCCAAGACGCTAAACCCTAAGGGTTAAGGACAGGGTTAGGGTTTAGGGTTTAGGCTAAACCCTAAACCCTGCTCCCTAAACCCTAAATCCCAAAACCGTAAACCCAGCAACCCTGAAGTCGAAACCGCCAACTGAGCCAAGACAGGATGGTTAAACCCAACTAAACACTACACTTCAAGGTTTAGGGTTTAAGGCTTTGGGTTTAGGGTTTCGGGTTTGGGGTTTTAGAATCAACCCCTTCCCGCCACAACTGTGGAGAGCTTATAAAGCAAACCCTAAACCCTATAAACCCTTTCAGAAACCGCCTTTTAGAAGACACACTTCTACCTAGTAACTCGTCTAGACCCCCTTCTGTGGAGAGTTTTAGAAAACCCTAAACGCTAAACCCCAGACCCCTCCTGCGGAGAGTTTAGAAAACCCTAAACCCTAAACCCTAAACCCTAAACCCTAAACCCTTCTGTGGAGAGTTTGAAAAGAGCCGGCCACCCTCAAACCCCAGCCGTCGTGGCCCGAGGCCTCCCGTCTGGTTCCTTGAGGCACATCAGATCTTCCACTGGCCTCATACATGGGTTTAGGGTTTAGGGTTTAGGGTTGAGGGTTTAGGGTTGAGGGATTAGGGTTTAGGGTTTAGGGTTTAGGGTCTAGGGTTGAGGGATTAGGGTTTAGGGTTTAGGGTTTGGGGAGCTCTAGGGTTCTGTTGCAAGGATCTGTAGGGTTCCTAGGGTTCCTTTAAAGATCCTAGGAGTCCTCAAAAAGGAACCCTAAGCCTTAAGCCTTTTAGGGGTCCGTTCTCTTTAAGGGGGTCCCCTGAACGGGGTCTTCCCCTTTAAGGGATCTACAGGGTTCCTTTAAAGGGTACTATCGGGATCTATAGGGTTCTAAGAATAGTAGGAACCCTTTCACGACCCCTCAAAGGACCCTTTCCCTAAACCCTATAACCTAAACCCTAAACTCTAAACCCTAAACCCTAAACCCAGGGTTCCTCTAAAAAGGAACCACAAGGTTCCCACAAGGGTTCTCGAAAGGCTTAGGGTTTTGGGGGCTCCTTCAGAGGGTCCCCAGTCTTCCGAAGCCACAAACTTAGTCGCTTACAGGGCTCCTTAAAGGTATCGATAAGGGTTTAGGGTTTAGGGTTTTTAGTAGCTTAAAGGGCTCCTTGAAGGTATCTATAAGGGTTTAGGGTTTAGGGTTTAGGGTGTTTAGTAGCTTAAAGGGCTCCTTAAAGGTATCTATACGGGTTTCTCTAGGGCGTCTTTAAGCGTACGATCAGGGATCCTGGCTTCCCAGAGCTTCCAGAACCCCTTAATTCAGGAGTATCACGTAGGGTTTAGGGTTTGGGGTTTAGGGTTTCGGGTTTGCCTACCATAATTTGTATGAGGGATATGCCTTCACTTCGGGATTTTGGAAGATCTGGGAATCAAGCACAGTTGAAATCCCGGGCATGTGTTTCGAACAGGGCAGACCCTGTTCTGAATCCTTTCTGCAACCTTGCAAAACCTGTATAGAACCCTGAAGCAGAAGCTGGGGACCAGTGTTCGGCTTCTTGGGCTAGGCTGTCTTCTTTATAGCTAGACCTCCCAATCCTCTTTAATCAAGGAATATGCATTGAATCATACTTCCTAGGGATCCCTCTATACTTCAAGGTATATTCTTTCCTAAACCCTAAACCTAAACCCTAAACCCTAAACCCTAAACCCTAAACCCAAACCGTATAAACCCTAAACCCTTTAATTAATGGATATTGAGGTCCGGGTAAAGCCAGGAGAGGAGATGTAGGACGCGGGGCTCAGCGTTGAGGGTCTATAGAATTTCGGGTCTATAGGGTTTAGGGTTTAGGGTTTAGGGTTTATTGTTTAAGGTTTAGGGGCTTAGGGTCTATAGGGTGCGGGCTTTAGAGTCGACAGGAGAGTGTTTCAATGTGCAGGGTTTAGAGTTTAAGGTTTAGGGTGCGGCGCAGTGAATCAGTTTAGGCTTTAGCTTTTCTTTGGGATTGTCAGTTACTGTTGACCCGAAACCATCACAAACTTAACCCTACACTCAGCCCAAACGCTAAACCCAAATTAAACCTTAACGCCCCTGCTTCAAAGCCTTAGATTCTGTTCGCCTCGGCCCCGACCGAAGCGGTCAGAGGTTGCCTTCTAAAGTTCTTAAGTGGGCCACCCACGACCTCCCCCTCCTTAGGTGACCAGGGTGACCTATGAAGGGCCACCCAAACCTCCACAGAACGGCTCCCCACAGCTCCTTGCCAGAGGACCCCCCCCAGTACGTGTCGTTCTTTTGTATGACGGGCCACCTAAAGCTCCCAACAACAGCCAAGCGGACCCCCCACGGCGGCCCTCCACAGCGGTACGCCTCGTCGTCCTTCTCTATGAAGGGCCACCCCGAGCTCCCCACAGAACAGCTCCCCACGGCCACTCGCCATAGCCGGGGTAGACACGTCAGATTACAATGCCGACATAGAAGTAGCGTCGCGAAGTAATGCCTGTGTGGATAACAATTCGTACTGGTGATGATACCTTTAGCCTCTAGCTCATGTGGATCTTCTCTTCTTCAACTTCTCCCCTGCCTCAATAAAAAAATCGCTTTATTAGGTAACCACGAACCCTGAGCAAGATATGGATCAATCTCCGCAACATCTAAATGTCATGCTTTGCTCGGCGATAGTGTATATCGCGATCACAGTTGCAGTATTCATCTGTGCCGAACCAAAGACCTCGCAGTCGGTTTTGCTGCACAGAAATCTATGTCTGCCCAAAGAAGAAACTATGCAACGAATACAGAGACGCATAAAGAAAAAGCAAACCAAGTAAGCCCCCCCCCCTTGATAGGGGGGTGGGGGTAGAGAAAGCTGACAAACTGGGTGGGTGAGTTGGGAGAGATCAGTGAGCTTTGGCGCACACCACAACACACGTCTTGCGTGGTGGTGTGCGCGGAACATTTCACATGCCCTAAACCCTAACCCTAAACCCTAAACCCCAAACCCCAACTGCAAGCTCCTCGGAAGCAGAGGGAAACGATTGAAAAACCCGAACCGTCCTCGAAGGCTGGCTTTTAGGGTTTAGAGTTCAAGGTTTAGAACTCTAGGCCGTAGGATCCGGAGTTCGATGATCACTTCTGGCCGCTGCTAACTTGAGTAGCCTGAACTCAACCGTAAATCCCTAAACCCCAGCGCTCTGACAGAACTAATCCATAGAGACCTCTGCCTGAGTTGAGGTTTGGGGGTCAGGGTTGCACAAGGGTTTAGGGTTTAGGGTGCAATGTATTCTCAGGGCCCCAAAATCATTTTGCTCCTAGAGGACCAGAAACTAAAACCTGAAAGCTGTGAAGGCATGAAACCATGAAGCCCAAAGCCTTAAGACCAAAAAGAATTAAAACCCTAAAACTCCTAGCATCCTAAAGCCCCACAACCCCAAAGTCCCAAACCCCTGCATCCACAAAGTCCTAAAACCCTGAAACCCCGCAGAAGTAAAACCCATGAAGGCCTAAAGCCCTAGTCCTAACCGCCCTGCATCCCCAGAGCCCTAACGCCCTACAGCACAGCCCTACAGGGTTTAGGGTTTAGGGTTTAGGGTTTAGGGTTTAGGGTTTAGCAACCTCTAACAGTTTATCAGCCTTCATGGTTGGAATATTTTTAAAGGTTTAGGGGTCCTGAACTACATTGTCGTGCTTTTATGTAGAGACTAGATGGGCATACTGAACTGTTACCAAATGTTTCAGAAGCTCTTACAAATCCCTGTGTGCCCGGGTGAAAAGTCCTTCCGTTGCCTGCAATGATGCAGGCAATTATAGCCATAGCACCTGGTGCTAGAGGTACTTGTAAAGGCATCCAGACCTGTAGGCCCTATATCGCACTAACTCAAGGAATGACAACGAACCGGCGAACCGGAAACCATGAACACTAAACTGCCAATATCATCGACAGCAGTTTGCTGCTGCTAGTGCTGGTGACAATACTAGCACTGTTGCTGGTACTAGACATGTTGCTAGCACTAGTCACGAAAGTACTGTAAATACAGAGTAAAATCAACACCGGTGGTTGAACAGCGGTGGTTGGTATTGGACCCGGTTTTTGACTACGACATCACAAAAGTATTGTAAATGCGGTTAAAATGGATGCGCTGCTGGACAGTGTTTAGGAGAGGTGGTTGTTGGGGGGGGGGCGCCTACTACTACTACTGACACCACCGCCGCTACGACTATTACTACTACTACTACTACTACTACTACTACTACTACTGCTCCTACTGCTCCTACTGCTACTGCTACTGCTACTGCTACTGCTACTGCTACTGCTACTGCTACTGCTACTGCTACTACTACGACGACGACAGCTACTACTACTACTACTACTACTACTACTACTACTACTATCACTACCACCACCACCACCACCACCACCACCACCACCACCACCACCACCACCACCACCACCACCACCACCACCACCACTCACCACCACCACCACCACCACCACCACCAACAATAACACCAACCGCATCAGCAGCAGCAACAACAACACCAACAACAGCAAACAACAGCAGCAGCAACAACAGCAGCAGCAACAACAACGACAACAACAACTGCAACAGCAACACTACGAACACACAGAATAACAGCATCATCAACATCAAGCTCAAGCTCAAGCTCAAGCCCACCAGCATCAACAACAACTCCACCAAGGCGACGCAGTCTGTCTCGCACCACCACATCATGTTATCAAAATCCTTATCGGCGACATCCTCCTGATCAACAGCAACCAAGAGTGAAACCCACGCCCATAATCCGAGGAATACTGTGCTGACGCGCTGAACCTGTACCTGTTTACCGACATGCTCCCAGGCACAGTGGCTTCAAACACCTCTTCCTGATGCTCCTGCTGCTGCTGCTGCTGCTGCTGCTGCTACAGCCTGCATTCTGCTGGCATTACCCCTCGGCTCCGTGCTTTCTGTGCTCCGACTCTCCCAGCCCGGGCTTCCGCCCCTGGAAGGTGGTGACTTGCTGGATATCGTGGAGGGATCTTACAACAAGAAGAGGCGAATCGAGGAGCCCGGGTTCGGGAGATCAGGTTTCCACACGGGCGGCCTTTCGACGTGCGATCCCCAACCGCCTTGCCATCAGCATACATGTGACGTTGTGACCTCCCCGTGTGCTCCGGTATTGCGGCGGGATTTTGTCCGTCTGCGAGGAGAATTGGGTGCGGGATGTCTTTCGTCAGGCGGCTGAAGGCCTGGAAGGGAACGAGCATTAGATGCGTTCCGGTGCCGTGTGGAGTCAAAGCCCTCCAGTTGTGCTACGCGGCACTTGCCCGTAATGCAAGGTAAGGTGATACAGAATCGAGCACACAGAACACAGACATTTCGGGCAACAACTCATGGTATGAATCGACCTGCAGGTCCCAGGGTCCCAGGGGCGGCTAAAGCTAACAAACGGTTGCGTATGGTGCTTGTATTTTTTGGGTAGGCTTCGATGGAAAAGCCACAATAAGTGCCAAGAGGTTTCATTAACGTGTCGATATGTACGGTGCCACTACGCAGCTGCCCGAAACCTGATTTCTTCTATTGCGTGACTTGGGAGCACATTGGGTCTGGCCAAGGAGTCGCCTACTGCCACGCCAAAGGTGCCGGATCTCAGTTGTTCATCTGTCAGAAGAGTGAGTCCGCCTTCATGCCAATGGCTTCGTTGCGACGAGACATGTCTGGGTGGATTTTCGTCGTGGCAGTAGCATCTGATGGTTTCGCAAGTAAGTCATCTTGATTGGCGGGTGAACACGCCCAGCCGAGGCGTCATGCACAAGGACTTGAAGCTGGAAAACATCATGCTGGCCTCGGTCCAACCACCGGAGGCAGAATTGGGCGAGCCTCAAGCCTCGAAGCATTGGGCAACAGATTTATCACTGGTTGTTGGACTCTGGATCAGACGGGAGGACTATTGGTCATTATCACTAGGCCTGTGCTTTTTTTTTTGCCCATTGTGGGTCTTCGGTCCTTAATATCCGGTCGACAGGAAACAGTTCATCCCTCCGAACCCTTTGCACCCGACAATTGCCATTCGAGCATGTGTGCAGCTTCGATGTAAGCGAAGCTAGACAGCTAACACAGCTAAGCATGACATTTGCCCAGCTTGAAGGCGGTGGTCATCGATGTGGGCCTCGCAGAGCTTTTCCCGCCATCCGAAGCCGACTCCTTTAGCTCCCGGGCGCTGAACATGATGATGACATTGCTTCGAGCGTGAGTTTTTTGTGACGAGATTTTTCTGCAGTTAATTTCAAATGAGGCTTTGATCGGTCATCTCCTGCAAAGTCGTCGTCGTAGTGGAGTAGTTGTTGTAGCGGTGGTGGTAGTAGAACTACTAGAAGTAGTAGTAGTCTTTGTTGTCGTAGTAACCAGTAGTCAGCAGTAGCAGCAGTAGCAGTAGTAGCAGTAAAAGCAGCAGTGGCAGCAGTAGTAGTAGTAGCAG